GCACTACAGAGGTTAGGTNCCACCACTTCTCCTGCAGATGTCTACAGTAGTGGTCCGCAGACTGCAGACCTTTTCCTGCAGAAAAAACAAACACCCCCTAGTGAAGGAAAATCACCAAAACAGGGATATAGGAAGCCGTAGAGGACTGCTTACGCCGGTCGCCTGAACCTGTTGTTATGCTGGAGGTCGTCACTGGATTGGAGAACCGTCGCTGCTGTAAATCACCTCCGCATCGCCGTTCACCATCCAAGTCGTCGCAGTTGCCAGAAAGGACGGAGGCCGGTGCTGCTCTACAACCGTTTCTCGTCATCGTTGCTACTCTCGCCGGAAATCCCATCGTTGTAGATAGTCGCTGAACCGGAGAGGAAGGCCTGGCGAGCAGCGTGGCGTGTTGGTCAGAATTGTCACGTCGGGGTTTCGCCCTTGTGCCGTTATGTCTTATCCGAGCAGAAGGCGAGGGCGGTGGTCAGCGGATTGGCGACGATCGAAAGAAGAAGAAGGTAGAGATCTACTGAGCGCATAAAAAGAGTATATATTTGTCACGTTAGATATAATCAAATTAGAATCTCTAAAGTATCTTTTAATTCTTTAAAGAACAAATTATCCTAAATAAATAATTATTATTTGTTTAATTAGTGAATAACTTCTAGACTGGATTTCAGGGCGTTACACATTGTTGAGTCACAAAATATCATATTTTATTCTCTCACTTCTTAGCATTTTAAATATGATTTATGTGCATTTTATACCTAAATAATCACATTTACTCTATTTAGCATTCTAGGCTATTATTTACATTGTATACATAAAGTGCATGATTTCTAGCATATTTATATTTTACAATTAATTTGGAAGTACTTTCTCTTTGACGGATATTTTCTAGATATATTTTGGAACACGAAAAGTTGGGGAGGATAATCAAATTGGATCTTGTAACTCAAAATGAAGAAGAATGAAGTTGGGCCAAGTCCAAACTTGGCCCAAACAAATCCAAGTTTTAAATGAATAATGGAAGGAGCAAATAAAAAAAGGGAAGAAGATGGGTACCTGATTCTCAGCCGCAGGAAAGGTAATGGAAGGAGTACTTCTCCTATTCAAACACAAACACTTCTAGTTTCAGTTATAAAGAGAAGAATTGTGAGGAGAAAAGAGGGAAGAAACGAAATAAGAAAGAAAAAAAGAAACGGAGATAAAAATGGAAACGGAACAGAGAGGAGGGAGGAGAGAGAGAATCAGAGCAACGGCGACACCGGCCTAGGGTTCGGCCGGTGATGGCGATTAGACTAGTGGAGCACGACGATGGGCAGCCATGGATTTCGGCGATGGAGCACAGCGTGCACGGCGGTGGTTTCTGGTTCTGGGCAGCCTGCACGCGGTTCGGACGAAGAAGATGAGCAGGGGAGTTTCTTTGACTTTTAATATTACTTCAAACTTTTAATTAGGATTTTGAATTTGTTTAATTTCCAATTGATGAATTTGATATCCATTATTTAAATATTTTATTTTCAATTCCAATTCTGTGTTGATTGTTTATGTTATATTATACTCCCTCCGTCCCAGAAAGAATGTCACGTTTATTATTCTGGCCTCTTGATAACTTTTGTTTGTTTACTCGTTTTGGTTGACCATTTGATAAAATAAAATATTCTTGTCGCATCTTGTTTTGTAGAGCTTTTCATATACTTTTGAATGGTGTAATTTTTACTTTTTATTACTCTACCAATTTGAAATTAAAGTGATTTTAAAAGAGATGATATTTTGCACGTGGTTCGAAGTGTTGCAAATAAATTGGGACGGAGGGAGTAAGTGTAGAATTGTTTGTGTTGATGTTTAATTGTTCAAATTTGAATTTTGATTGATTATTGTCTCTGAAATTATAAAACATTCTTAGGCTGAATTGTTTGATAAAAAAGATTGAATCCTTCTTTGTTGAACTAATTTGACTTTGAAGGAATTTTAGCTCTATGCTACGGTTAAATCTAAACTCAAAAGGTGTTTTGAAAACTTTTTTTTACCTGATTTTACTTAAATTGGACCAAATTAGGATTGCGCGCCTAATCCAATTTAAAATGATATTCTTTTAAAGTCTAAAGTGTTTTGAATAGCCGAACTTTTCTAGAAACTAAGTGTCACTTGATTAGCATTGGCTGCCTCGTTAAGTGGTTTTTGCTAATCAAGGTTCTCAACCTGATTTTGTTAAATAACCGTAGTGTTACTGCAAATTTGTTATGGTGATGTTTTCCACAAATCTTAATGCGCTATTATTAGTAGTAACTTAAGGGTTGGTCTTTAGGTTGCTAAGAGTAGGGTTTAGAGTTATGGTTGGTTTTAACATGAGCTAATATGAATGGGAAAATAGAGAAGAACCGTTGGTGGACCTCTTTTTCAGCCTAATCATGAGTTTAATTAGCAGTTTAATTTCAGAATCAAGACATAATTAATTAGTTAATCAGATTTTACTTCAATTTATTTTCTATTAAAAATTATAAGTATTTTCAAAATAGTTTAAGTTAATTATTATTGTGTAAGTTTTTATAAAGTTTAAATATGTGTTTGTATGTGTGTTTGTTTGTGTGTTTGTTCCTCCCTGAGTGTCTTCTGAGTTCGAGTTGCTGTTGTGGTTCCATCTCTTATCTATTATCCTTATCTCTATTTTATTTGTATTTTATCTTTTTAAAATTATCATTCCAACCCCCCATATTTTTTAGTTTTAGTTTTTTAGATTTTAGTTAGTTTTTTTATTCAATAAAAGTGACTAGTAAACTGATTTTCATAACCTAAAAAGTATCTTTTCTCGTGGGATCGACCCTTACTTGCCCTATCTATATGTTTTAACGGCCCGGTTCTAGTGACACCGGAGGTGCCCCAAAAACCCAGTGGCACCGTTCTCCGGTGTCACTGGAACCGGACCGATGTTTTAATTAATAATAATTTATAAAGGAGATTTAAATTAAGGAAAATAATAAATTAATTTGTAGGTGTTACGACACGCCTATCACACATCCTATATTAGTATATTATAGATTCTTCAAACAGGTGGTAAAGGTTCCTTTTCCATCAGATTTGACCACAGGGTTTCGTACCATAACCGGTTTCCAGGGCGTCTCACATATCTATGCAAGCATTCCTGGAAAGTCACATGTGCAATTCTTACACACACACTGGAGGACGTTCATAATACGCTAGATCATCCCACAATTTCTTCATCTTCTCGATCATAATATTCAATTATGGAAAGGTTCTTTTGTTTGCACTCCGCTAACTCCCACTTCAACTGTTGAACCCTAGGTCCATTCACAACAGAGATATGGGCCTTCAGATCATTCCACAAATCGGAGGCATTTTCACCGAACAATATGCTAGATCTCTAGATTGGATCAATAGTGTTCAAAATCCAAGAGACTAAAAGTGAATGATTTGTCAACCAATAATCCAAATCATCTGAATTAGAATCCAAAATATTGATCGTTCCATTAACAAACTCAAATTTCTAGCGTGCTCGAAGAGTAAGCCGTAGAGATTTGGACCACTCATCATAATTATTTCCCTTCAAGACAACTTGAGTTAAAAGCATACTAGGATTATCGCTAGGAGACAAATCATACGGCGAGATATGACGTCATCGTAAAATAATCTTCATCTTCATGATCTTGAAGTTTCTTTCCTGCAGCAATCTTCTTGGGCTGCTCTTCGGTCATGGTTGATGTGGAAACAATACGTAAAGCAGTGACAGAGACTTATCAGCAGTGGCCGATGATCGATGGACAGGCAGTGACAGAGACTTATCAGCAGTGGCCGATGATCGATGGACAGGCAGTGCTGGTCGACTGTTCGGTAGTAATAAGCGAAAGAGGAAAAAAATTGCAGCGACGCTCGATGGTCAATCGCGATGCCAGTCGACCGTGAGCAGCAGCAGAATAATATTATATTATTGATGCTCTCATACCATGAAAGAATAGTATTCGGGAGAACTATTTCTCTTGTATTTCTAATGTTCACAATATGAAACAAAGGCTACATGTATAGGATCCCACAAGCTAGAAACTCTTTATGGAAAATATATACGGAAGGAAAGAAAATAAATATAAATCGGGAAACTACCATAATAATATATACAAAGAATATATGGAAATATATTCTTTCCTTTAACACCTTCTGTGTACAACCCCTGATCACCAATCTGGCCTTGTGTCTTTCCAAGGAACCATCAGCTTTGTACTTCAATTTATACACCCATTTGCTGTTGATAGGATTTTTTCCTTTGGGTAATTCACATATTTTCCTTTGGGCAACGCGCGGAGAAGAAGAGTGAGTGGGTGCTGAAATTGGCGATCAAAAATAAAAGATGGAACATGAGCTAAGGTCATAAGGGAAGGAGGATATGAATGGACAGAATCACAGTATGGTATGTGGAGCATAATCGATCGGGTTTATGAGGTTTTATCGGTTCGTCGGTTCGGACCGAGTGGAAATTCGCTTTAGATGGGTCGTACCGAAACTTGAAATCCAAAATATTCTGGCCTGAAGACCAACTCGACATTTGTTTGGTCTGGGTTTGGTCTAGACCTAACAGTCTAGTTTAGTCGATTTTTTTGGTTTAGACCTAAACATGAACACTCCTAGCTGGACTTCCGACACAAACCAATAATTCAAGTGTCTAAACAACTACGAGCCGACATAACATACTGAGTTGTCTCCCCTTTTACTAATGGCTCAAAAAATTAATAATACAATCCGAATGTCTAAGTACAGTGGTACGCAGCCGATTACTACTATTCGAGGCTGACTATGGGCCCGAGGACCGAGCCCAGCCTTTCTACGCCACCCTGGACCCCGCCCGAGGATGGCCCCTGATCACTTTCATATGTCGTGCGGGAGTGAGGGGTTTGGCTTGTGGAAGGGTAAGTAGTCTATTGATGAGGCCTATCAAAGTCGCAACCTAATGTCTATCTATTTTTAGTGGTACAAAAATTTAAACTCATTTTGTGAGTATGCTAACACTAAAAAATGAAAGTGGTCCCACGTTATTGTGTTCACTTTATTTCCCTTTTTTTTGCTACAAAAAGACGCCAAAAGCCTAATATAGTTTGCTTCAACTCACGACGTACTCTCCGTAACAACAATTTCAGTACCACAGAAAATGGGCCACCCCGTAATCGGAAAGGAGCCCGGAGAATCTTCCCGCCGGCAAATCCTCCATGACGATGACGTCACGTCTAAACCACGCAGGTCAACCGCCAAGCTCATCCTCGTATTGGCCGCCGTCCTCATTACCGCCTCCGCCGTCTCCGTGGGTGTTTTGGTCGGTACACGTGGCAAGTCCGCCTCCAGGAACAGAGTAACCTCCAAGCCTAGCCGAGCCATGTCCCGAACCTGCAGCAAGACTCTGTACCCGAGCCTCTGCCTCCGCTCGTTCCTCGACTTCCCCGGCTCCACCGCCGCGTCGGAGGCGGAATTGGTCCACATTTCCGTGAACGTGTCCCTCCGGCAGGCCGCGGCGGCGGTCAACGCGATCAACGACGTCAACAATCTTGAGATGGACACTCTGGTCCGGTCCGCTTACGCGGATTGTCTCGAGCTGCTCGACGACTCGGTTGACCTCCTTGACCGCTCCCTGAACGCCCTCCGGTCGGGAGGAAGCTCCCCGGACGATGTCGCCACGTGGCTGAGCGCCGCTCTCACCAATCACGACACGTGTTCGGAGGGATTCTCGGGCGTCAGTAACGGGACGGTGAAGGACAGCGTGGCGGAAAGGATGAAGGACATGACGGAGCTGGTGAGCAACTCACTGGCGATCTTCGCCTCCACGGACGGCGGCGGTGAGTTCGCCGGCGTGCCAATAGGGAATCGCCGCCGGCGCAAACTCCTGGAACAGGGGGAGTTCCCGGAATGGTTGTCGGAGAGTGATCGGAAATTGCTAAGCATGCCGGTTTCCCCTATTCGAGCAGATATAATTGTGGCTAAGGACGGAAGCGGGACGGTGAAGACGATCGGCGAGGCGATAAAGAAGGTGCCGGAGCACAGCACTCGCCGGACCATTATTTACATTAAGGAAGGAGTGTAAGTTCATCTTTATCACTTTTAGATCCTGTTTTTGCCTTTGGAAGAACTTTCAAAACTGACAATTAGTTGCCCAGAATATTATTATCTAATAGCCTTTTAGACTTATTCTAATTATGATAAGACCCGAGTTTGATTCTATTGTAGTGCGAAATATGGTAAACATAAAACGACTTCTGCCCCCGGACAGGTTTGAAGGGGTTCTGGGATGGTGCTCACCTTATTGGACTAATTCTAGAATTGAAAGCGTACTGCATGTAAAATTAATATTCTTTTAAGTCTCAAAATGAAGTTCGCCTCTGCCGGCAAAACTAATTCTACTTTCTTTTCCACAAAATTATTCTCTTTTTTCTTTTTTCATCCGTCTAAAAAAATACTTTTATTTCTATCAAAAAGTTAATTTTATCCCTATTAATTTTTAACTCACTTCACTACTGATAATCAATCACATTCTACTTTTACTCATCACATCTAAAAGTTTTTTGGAAACACCAAAATACATTACACTTAAATCTTTTAAAAGTCAAAATCAAAAAAGTTTTGTAAACCGAAGGAGTATAATTTTGATATCAATTTATAATTTTTTTGATGAATTATTCATGAATCATGATATGAAGGACAATGAAGGGTATATGAATGAATCTTAAGAACTAAGAACCATCTCTTGGCATGGAGATGTGTATTTGTAGTACATGATGAGTTCGCCACTAACTATCCACTTCTAGTCGTTCAGAAATCTAGAATTGTTATTATAATTTACGTGTGCATCGCTTTCGAGTCGAGTCGATCACTTGTTGGAGTACCAATATAAAAGGGTGCACTTAATTCCAGTACTATGAGGCCTCTTAGAAAGTGTAATAACAAATTCGTGATTGCTTGACCAAAAACATCAAACATCATACTAGTGATGGTTAAGTTTATGGTAGGCAGTCTCAGCATGTGGTATCATTGGCAATGTTCAGAGTAGGCATGCGTAATGGACTGCATTATAAAAGTTCTCAGTTCGACAACAAAAATAGAAATGAGGAAACCTTGTGGTGCCGTGTACCGACAGCCTTCTTGGGAAGTGGTGGCATGGTATTGTGGCATTTTTCATTGGCTGCTAACGGGAGTAAAAGATGCTTTAATTTGCTAGATCAGATAATGTGACAGAGCTAATTAGAGATCAATCTGAAGTTAATGCTTTCTACCGAAAGACTTCTTGACAATGAGGACTTTGGACAGTGCGTCTCACAGAATTGTAAAGACGACATTGCGAGTTGAATGGTAGAGCAAATAAATTATTACTCTTTACGGGAAAGTTTTGCGTGACTTGTGTGGTCCTTGATTTGAGGAGAGGATAGTTGAGATACAAATCCAATTGCCATGGGGGGAAGAAGAACCTAACCAATAAATAAGGTTTCAAGTATGACACTTTTTGGAAGTGGTCAAAATAAATAATCTATGGAGTATGTGTGACCTAAAAGTGAACAACTAATGTGGGTTAGGGTGATGGTAGAAAGTCTCAATATCACCGGCAACCCAAATTATCTGGGCTTTTGCCTAACTTTCGAGCTGACATATATATTACGATAGTGGTCCTCCTTCGACTAACGGACCTGATTTCTCATCCCAGATGGATCTAATCTCGGACCAAGTTGGATTCCTTTTTGAGCACTTTCTTAAAAAACTCATCCTAATGAATTGAGTTAAAAGTATTTTATTTAATTTGGGTTCATTTTTCTCTCTTCCTTGATGTGAGAGTAGGTTTGCACCCATGTTCTCATGTAGTGTTTTCTTGTGTTGGGAAACGTTTTGCACCCTAAACATTTGGAGTAAAAAAAATATATTTAATGGTGCAGTGGGAATTTAATGGACGTGGGGGCCGGGGTGACAATTAACAAATCATTATAATTATTTTTTAAAAGTCAATTTAATCTTGATGAGGAAGTGGACTAACCGGTAATTAATGGATTAAGTGGAGTATTATGGTACACATCATGTGAGGTTTGAAGTTTGATTAAGGGCTGTCGGCCGGGTTCAAGGAGGAAGGTGCGGAGAGAAATTTAATTAATTACGGGAGTTTATCAATAATTAATGATGAGAAAATTAATTGTCGGCAGAAAATGGGAATTAATCTCCAAAGGAGCGAGAAGTATTATATAGCTGGATTAGATTATACGAATTTATGAGAGTGGTACGGGATGCTGCTCTGGTGGTACCTTGAAAAATACGTGCACATGATGCAGGTACGAAGAGCACAATACTCTGAAAATTGGGAAGAAGAAAACAAACGTGATGTTAGTTGGAGATGGGAAGGGCAAGACGGTCATTTCCGGCAGCAAAAGTGTTGCTCAACAGCTCACCACCTTCCACACCGCGTCTTTTGGTAACCACTCTCTCCCCTCTTAATTTTATTTTCAAGTACTCCCTCCATCCCATTATATTTGTCCACTTTCATTTTTGCACATCATCCAATGCACTTCTTTAATCCATTTTATCTTGTAATTTATATATTAAAAAATTATAGAAATTATATGTTAATAATCTATATGTTAAGACAAATCAAACAAGATCACACATGACTATATTTAGCCTTACAAATTGAGAGAATTTGATCAGTCAAAGTGCTTAGATGAACAGTTCCAAAAGTCAAAAGTAGACGAATATAATGGGACGGAGGTAGTAAATAACAACTTTTATTTCATAATAATGATTCTGATTTGATTGAAATAAGTTTTTTATTTGATTTGATCTGAATGTAGTTATAATTAAAGTAATTTTTAATGTGATCTGATTTAATCCGAATTAAACAGAATAAGCAATAAGTAATAAAAATAAGTTGAAGAATAAATGCTCTAAAATCATTTTTATTTTAAAAATAAAACTCATTTCTAGAAAATTCATACTCTATATAACTAAAAATAAAAGTTACACTTCATCCGTCCCATAAAGTTCACATTTTGACTTTTAGAAAATTTAAAGAGATATTTTTATATTGACTTTCCAAAAATATTCTTGATATGATAGGTAAAAATATTATATAAAAAATAGATTAGTAGTAGAAAGGTATCATAGGATGTGATATGTAGGTTACGAACTCGTAGAGATAAAAAGTAAATTTAAAAAAGAAAAGGGGAAGATTTTGTGAGACAAGAAAAATAAAGAAAGGGAAGGAGTTTTTGGGACGGATGGTGTACTTTACAAATACATAAAAACTTTTAAAATCCAAGATTTAATTTGATGATTTTGTATTATCAAATAATTACAACAAATGAAAGAAAAAAGTAGACATAATTTCATTCTATGTTGTGATAGAGTAAGAAAATACGAGTATATTTTTTTTTTAGAAAAAAGGTGGTGCTAAAAACTTTAAATTTGAGGCCCCTAGGGTATTAATTAGATCACATTTTCCTTTCCAAAAAAAAGGGGAGTAAAATTAGAGTACGTTTCTCATTTATTTCCGGCATCTATCTTTTCTTCTCAATTGTGGTATGGTCCTAATTGATTAAACATACAAACGACGTACTTTCATGTCTCGTTATTCACTTCTTTTTTACACAATAACCATCCAAATGAGAATAAAGTGGATAGTTTACAAAAATGTTCTTTACTTTATGTGTTGTGGCCTAGTGGGCGAGTTCATTTATATAATTGTTGTTGTTTTGGGGGTTTTGAAAATGGATCAATTATATTTATATATTTCCTCCGGCCCAAAATGATGATGATGAACCTATTTACTATTACCTTCTTTTAATAACTTTTGTTTGTTTTCATATTATTATTTAGCATTTGATAAAATAAAGTATTATTTACACTTCTTGCTTTATAAAACTTTTGATGTAATTTTTAAATATATAAATTTCTATACCAATTTGTAAATAAAATCATTTTAAATATACATGGTTCTTTTAAATATTCTATTTTAATTAGATAAAATAATATTTCAAAAATAATTTATATAATAAGTCCAATAAAACAATTTTTTGTATCAATATCTAATACTATTTTTATTTAATTTGAAGTCAAAATTTACCAATTTTGACAGAGAAAAGTTAAAAGTGAACAAAGAAGAAGGAAGTATAATTCAACTTAGTTAGGTCTACTCCAAAACATCCACCTTTTCCTAATAAATTAAAACACAACCAAAAGCAACCATGTAAAGAGATAGTAAAAGAAAGAAAAAAAAAGAGGAGGGAGAAGAGTTTGACAAGTAGCAGCCATAAAGCTTCCACATGCATGCTTAACAAGCAAGTTTCTTTGCATATGTTCTTTAATTTGTTCGTACGTAAGATTCCATTTGTGTTTTAGAGAAGAGGATTAATATTCCAAACAATAATGTCTCAATCAAACAACCCACCATACGTGGATTAGTGTCATCTAATTGCATGCCAGGCCCCAAATGAATTGGAATATATGTAATGGGCTTTCCTTGTCCACATCCCCCGCCAATAATATAATACCCCTTCCCCGTTCAACCATAAAATTTCTATTCATTATTCACATGGTCAAATTTTATTCTGTTTGTTGGCTTATTTTTGTGTCCTATTTGATAAAATAATAATGTCGTCTCTATTTTTGTAGATCTTTTCACGTAGTATTTAAATATGTAATTTTTATTTTTTAATTTCATGTCATTTTTCATATAAAATGATTTGAAAAAATAAGTTCAAACAAATATCCTAACTCTCACCAAGAACTTTATTTATGGATAGAAAAGTAATAAATTAATTGTTTGTATGTATATATATTGGCCGGCCGGCCGGCCTAGTGTCCATGTTGCATGTGAGGACTAAGGAGACGACCCATTAATTGACACTGGCGTGTCTACCGTGTGGTGCATTATTTGCTTCATTGCTAATAATTAATTAAAGGATATTTTAGACTAAAACATAATATATGATTATATGTTTTTATTTTTCAATGTAGGATCATAGGTCATTATCTATTAGTCATTATTCAACTAAATATCCAGCATCACTTGGATATTATTCTTTTCACTAGTCATTATTAAGTCCTATTTAGAGAATAAAAAAGTTTAAGTCCTATATTGAAAACTGAATTATGTTTTAGTCTTATTCCGTGTAAATTTCCCTTAATTAAACCAAAGAAAGAAAGAAAGAAAAGTACACATTAAATATATTTATGGTTTGTGATTTTGAAAAGCATATATTTATATAAATCACGCTTTACAGATCAATGGCTGGAGAAAACACATGTTCTCCCTTAATTTTCAACTGTAAAAAAAAATCATATTTGTGATTCACGGAATTTAATAATACGATCTAAAAATAAAAACTATATCCGGCCTTCGTCCCAAAAGTCTTTATAAAAATAAAAGATAGGATGTGACCGGTAATTTAATACTCCATGCGTTCCATAAATTCTTTATGTTTTTACTTTTTTTAATCAAAGAGTGACACTCTTTGACCATTAATTAAATATAATTTAAATAAATAAATGTTAAAAAACTTAATATATCAAAACTATATCATAACATAAACAACTCAATTGTATTGAATATATTACATTGTAATTAAATACTATACAGAGTATGATCAAACAGTGCCATTGTTTGATTTAAAAAGTCAAAACAAGTGTAGTTTAATTAAATTAGATGGTCCTCTTTAATAAGGTGTTCTCTCAAATTAATCATCAATACGTTTTATAATTGAGTGGTGGATTATTTATAATTGAGATTTATTACTTAAGTAGTCATTCATAAATAATATTACTCAAATGATGATTATGTGGGGGTATTTTTACTGAAATGATGATTAATTAGGGATTTCTTTCAATGTACCACTTAAATTTTTTAATTCTCTAAATAGTACTTGAATAATGTCTAGTGGCGAGAACAATGTCTAGTAATGATGGGCATATAGTTTGAACAATCTCTAGTGGTAATTGACATTTACTTAAACAATGACCAGTGCATATTGAACAGTTATACTACATTGGGAACATAAAAACATATGGTACTACATTGGAAAAGTCACTATATTTTAGTACTATTTAGGTAAATTCTCCATATTTAAAATTGTCCAATAGGTGGATTTTTGGGTTAGAGCTATCTAAAAATATACTCCCTGAGTTGATAAAACAAAAATACTCCCTGGGCTCTGTCTCTAAATCTTATTTTTATTTTGGCTTTTATGAAACTTTGGAAGAGATATGTTTTTGTTGACTTTTTAGAAATATCTTTGATGTTATGACTAAAAGTAAGATGTTATTGGTATGTTATTAGTGAAAATATATAATGTGATATGTAAGGTAACCACTAATATATGGGTAAAAGTGATTTTCAACAAAAGAAGAAAGACATTTTGGGACAAGAAAAAAAAAGAAGGAAGAAAGACTTTTAAGGACGGATGCAATATATACTTGGTATCCTTTATGTGACTAGAGTAATTTAATTTATTACAAAATGAGTAATTAACATGCATGTTTTTTTTCAAATATGTATAATGCAGCTGCAACTGGACGTGGATTCATAGCTAAAGACATCACATTCCAAAACACGGCGGGTCCGGTGAAGCATCAAGCGGTGGCCCTCCGAATTGGAGCTGACCACGCCGTAGTTTATCGTTGCCAAATCATTGGATACCAGGACACCCTCTACGTCCACTCCCAGCGCCAGTTCTACCGGGAATGCGACATATACGGAACCGTCGATTTCATCTTTGGCAACGCCGCGGTTGTCATCCAGAAATGCCACATTTACGCCAGAAAGCCCTTGCCCGGCCAGAAGAACACCATCACGGCCCAAAACCGAAAAGACCCGAACCAGATCACCGGGATATCCATCCACGCCAGTAATATTCTGGCAACCCCGGACCTGGAGGCGTCCAAGGGCACCTTCCCTACGTTTTTAGGGCGACCCTGGAAGATGTACTCGAGGACGGTGTACATGTTGTGCTACATCGGGGACCATGTCGACCCTAGGGGATGGCTTGAATGGAGTGGGGACTTTGCACTCTCCACATTGTACTATGGAGAGTACATGAACAATGGACCGGGTGCCGGTTTAGCCCAGCGTGTGACTTGGCCAGGTTATCGAGTCATCAAGCTGGAGACTGAAGCAAGTAGGTTCACTGTTTCTCACCTAATCTCGGGCTCGTCTTGGTTGCCGTCTACAGGAGTGGCTTTCTTGTCTGGACTTAATACATGACGACCATATATATTTATATATTCTCTGCGCATACATACATAATTAATATACATTATACATACAATTGCTATAATTACATGTATGTATATATATACGTCAATCATTTTGATTGACTTTCAGAATATTTCTACTATACTTTTACAGTTTTACCACATTAGGTTATATCTCTTTGCATTGATTTACATCATCATATATATATAGAAAAAGATTAGACAAGGTAAATATGAAAAGAAGAAAGGGAAAGGCTAATGAGGAAAGACTTACAAGAAGAATATGTAACCAAGGTCAAATTTTTCTTAATACGCCTCCTCAGATTAGAACATGTAACGAATACATGTCCATTCAACTTGCGAATAAGAAATTTGAACTGTTAGCAACGCGGATTCCGCGCAAGCTAAAGGCGGGATCAAACATTAGAGGCAGACAAGGAGCCTTTGACAAGTCTTACACACAAGAATGAGAGTCCACCTCAATATGTTTGGTGTGATCATGATGTTAGTTCTTTGTGTTTTCTCCTTATGTGAATGTTTGAGTCACAAAATATTTTATTTTATTCCCTCATTTTTTAGTGCTTTTAAGATATTTTGTATGCATTTTATGCCTTATTTATTATATTGTTAAATTTGCACTGAATAGTACTAAAATATACTCCCTTCGTCCCGTGAAACACGGGACATATTGACCAAAACTGAAATTTAAGGGAGGGTATTTTTACTACTCACTTTCCAAATATACCCCCAAACCCTTAAATAAAGAAGAATAAGGAGAAAGTGTGAATAGTATTTGCATTTAATGAAAAGTAATGAAAAAGTGGTAAAGTACAAACGCACATTGTATTTGTTCGGCACCTACAGGCAGTGTCATCACTGCAATTCAGCAAGTTTAACAATTTACAGGCCAAAATACAAACATGGAGGGAAATTTTTTTGCCAAATTTTTTTGGGTAAATTTTAAACTTCCCTCCAATTACAAAATCATGTTCCTAATTGAAAATCTATAAATAGAAACTTAGTTGTGCATTGAATACACATTTAAAGCATGTCCCTTTTCACCTTATTTCTCCTAACTTCCTCCTCAGACGGTCCATAAAGCTTCCTTTTGTCCTTCGTTGTGTTGTCCGTAGAGATGTCCTCCCCGCCATCGTCACCATCTTTGTCAACAACGTCATCTTTATCCTCCTTTTCTTCAGTTTCAGCTAGTACGGATCTGCCACCTTTGGTCCAGGTTCCACTCTTCAATCTGGACAGCCCTGCATTAGAAGACGAGGGGAGTAGTTCGCGAAAAAATGGTTGTGAAGAACGTAATGCTAAACGCAAACGAGTAATTGAAAAGTTACTCCAATTTTGTAAAAATGGCAAACTTCAGCGGGGCTGCATAAAAGACGTTGCTGCAGAATTCAATATCTCACGCAAAACAGTTGGAAGTATATGGAGTATAGCTAAGACTCAAATGCGGGCAGGTCTACCCGTGAATGTTCTGTGCAAGTGGAAAGGGAATTCTGGGCCAACAATGGGTACTGTTGACATTCAAAAAATGTTAGTCGTACCCTTTCACAGGAGGAAGAACATCCGTGCCTTAGCATATGCAATGGATGTTTCAAAATCAACAGTCCAAAGGTGACTAAAGTGCAAGAAAATAAGAAGACATTCAAATGCCATCAAGCATTTTCTCTGTGAAAAAGGTAAGCTCAAAAGACTTAAATATTGCTTGGAACATATTGCTAGCCCATCAATTCCCATGAACCCCACATTTCATCATTTCTATGACTACATTCATATTGATGAAAAATGGTTTAACATCACAAAGGAAAAGATAATATTTTATGCACTGCCAGATGAACCAGACCCATACAGAACTGCTCAATAAAAGACTCACATACCAAAAATCATGTTCTTGGCAGCTGTTAGTAGGCCTAGGTTTGGGAATGATGGGGCTGTCGTTTGGGATGGGAAAATAGGTATATTCCCATTCACATATGAAGCTCAGGCCAAAAGATCTAGCAAAAACAAGCCATCAGGTACATTAGAGGTCAAGGCAACCACCACTATTAATAGAGATGAAATGAAAAAGATGTTACTGGAGAAGTTACTTCCAGCCATCAAAGAAAAATGGCCTGGTCCAACACGAGATGTAATAATACAACAAGATAATGCTAAACCACATGTGGATGTGAATGACACTGAGTTTGTACAAGCTGCACAGGAGGGAAACTAGAACATTAAGCTTCAATTCCAACCTCCTAATAGCCCAGATCTGAATGTTTTGGAGTTGGGATATTTTAGGTCAATTGATACAATTCAAGACCAGGCAGCACCTAGGAAGTTAGAAGAACTCATCAATGCTGTTACCAAATCATTTGAGGACCTCACCCCAGAGAAGTTAAACAATGTTTTCTTAACATGTCAAAGTGTAATGGGGGAGGTACTTAAACAGAAAGGGGGCAACAACTTCAAAATCCCACACATAGGGAAAAATAGTTTGGCCAGACTTGGAAGGCTACCAGATAATATTGGGGTTACTGCAGAGGTGTACCAGGAAGCAAAAACATTCCTTGAAGAACACCTGTAGAAACATAATGGGTACTTGAAGACCTGGAAGGGTTGGTTTTTTGTATGTACAAACATCATGGGTAAAAGTACAATACTTTAATGTACTCCCATTGAATGACTTTTTTGCACAACTTTTTTGTATGGCATGTAATCAGTGTAGTATGAAGATCTGGCATACAGATTGGGCATTGAAAATCTGCCAACTAATGTTTTTTTGTAGATTTCTTGACAAACTTTATGGGACTAAATGAAGGTGTGTATTGTTGAAGACCTGGAAGGGTTGGTTTTTTGTATGTAGAAACAAAGGTGGATTGTTGTAAAGAAATGAACACAGGTAGACCAATCCTAGGCAAATTGATTTTTGTAAGTCTCCAACACAAGACGTGGGTGACATTACAACACTAGCAACTCACATATCAACAAATGTTTTTCATGTAAAGTAGAGATTTGCATCATTAGTTTGCCAAAAAGCCATTACAGGTAAACCGTAGTAAAAGAGAGTATAGAGCGTGTACTATGTTCAGATATCACCGATTTCCCGTCTTCCTCAGAGGTCACTGATTCCCCGTCTGCCTCTTCATCCCCTTCTTCATCATAACTCCATTCAGGATCAGAATAGTAACCACCCCTAGATATTTTTTGCGGAAGCTCCATGTTGGGTCTGTTTCAGAGGAATCGGTGTCTCCTCCATCAAATCCCCAACGATTTAACTCAGCCCTCTTATTCTCAGCCTTCGATGGAGGAGGGTCTCCATATCTAGGAACTGCATCGTCATCACTATCACTCAATAGTTGAAAACTGGGAATCGAAGGATCGCGAGAAAACATCAAATCGGGGCAAAGAAGATTAGATCTGAAGTTGAGGAGGTTTAGATCTATTATTCGAGGATGAATTTAGATCTAGAGAGAAGAATAGATTTAGATCTACACAAAAGGGAGAGGATGAATATAGATCTCGAGAGAGACAAAGAAGGGGTGGGAATCGGTGCAAATGCTGGGTTGGAGTGTCAGGCGAAATCAATAGGGTTTGGGTGGAGGGGTAAAAGAGTCATTTTAAAAGAAATGGGAAATGTTTTAAGGGACGGATAAAAAAAGAAAGGGGAAATGTTTCACAGGACAGAGGGAGTATGTCATTTTCTAATGTATTCAGTGATAGTGGACATTTAGTTTGAACAATGTCCAGTAGCAGTGGACATTTACTTAAACGATGACAAGTGGACAATGACCAATGCTACTACATTGAAAAATAAAAACACGTGGGCTATATTGGGAAAGTCACTATGTTTTAGTACTATTTAGGTAAATTCACTTATTATATTTTCTCATATTTAGTATTTTAGGCTATTGTTTTATTTTATATATAAAAAGCATGATCTTGAGCATATTCATATGTGATGATTATCTTAGAAGTAATATTTTCTTGACATAGTTTTTTAGATATATTTTGAATGGAAGAAGGTAACACAATTGGATCAAGGAAGAAGTTGAACTAAGCCCAAACTTGGACCTAGGACAATAAAAAGGAAAACAGAAATACTCCGTGGAATAAGAAGAAAACACATAAGAGACGGAAGGAGGCGGATACGTTGGGATATTTAGACTGATGTGAACTAATTTTTCCAAATTGAGGTACACTTTTTGGTCTAACTTTCTCCAAATTGAAATTCAATCGCATCATTGCAATCAATCAATCAAACTCTACAAAACTATATAGTTTTCATATTTATTTGAAATTTTTTTCTGACATCATATATCTGGTTGTTTTTGACAGAGTCAAGATTGATTTATATGACATATATTTAAAAATATTCTCATATTCAATTAACATTGTTTAATCTAATAGTTTTTTTTCAATAAATCATTCTTCAAGAGTTCGAATTATTAACACTTCTTGAGTTTGTCCATGTTACATATTTTAATATTTTAAAATTGTCACAACTAAAAATCTATAGATCAGATTTGATAAAATATGTTGTTGGATTCGTCTCTTTGAGATCTATCCATAAAATTTAATTTTAGAAAAAGATTATTATCTTGAGAATTCTTCGTTTTTTGCTCAAAGGCAGAAATAATACTTTGATGGGACTAAACTTTAGTTTTAAAAATATTTTTATCATATAATTACTTTTAGGCTATGTTTTAGGGCGTTACAAGGTGTTACAACACCCTGCAGGGCATAATAAAGGTATCTTAGTTTGTGAGGACAACTTAGGTCCCACTTGGCAGGGTCAAAGAAATAACATGAAAAATTTCACTTTATTGTTTGTTTATAGTTTGTTTTTACAATTCAATATATTTTTAGCATAATTCATGGTTAAAATAAAAAAAATGACTAGAAGGTCCAAGTGAGATGAAAGATATAGGACGTAGGGATTAATATTAATTTTCTTAAATTTGATATACTCCCTTTGTCCCAAAAAGAATATCACGTTATGCAAAATGAAATGAAACAATTTTCATTTTTTTCAATTCATTTTATTTAAGATTGATATAGAAATAAAAACTAAAACTTAAAGAATTAGAACATACGTCTAAAGTTCTACAAAATAAAATTTGACATGAATATTTTATTTTGTCACATAATCAATGAAAACATACAAATAAATAAAAATTTTCGTGATTTTTGAATAGTAAAGTGTGACATTCTTTTTTGGAGAAGGGAGTATTATAATTATGATAATTATTGTATATAACTCTATTTCACTTTATTGCTTGTTTAATTTATAGTTTGTTTTCATATAAAGTTTTTAGTCCTTGAATTGCTATATATATACATGTTCATTCTTCCTGTGTAGTTTGAATAGTTTGAAGTTCATCACATCTTCATCACCCCCATTAACCATTAGACCAAACGGTGTGGTTAGAATGATCACCTCCATTCCTTTTTGCCTATTCATCATCATGTCAGCTTTGCTTTCCCATCACATTCCATAACCTTTTAAGGGTGTGAATAATGCCCATCCATTTTTTAAACATTCTTATTTACATATATTTTAATTAAAATTACTTAAACATAAACTATAAAATAAAATTTTCATTAATATTTAATAAAATTACAATGACAAAAGTACGAGAATAAAAAATGGATAAAAAAAGAGCGATACTTAGCATAATTGAAATGCATACCAAAAGAGTACAACTACTTGAGAAAAACAATCAAATATCACCGCCTAAGTAGTCGGCCGTACTTCCAAGCCATTTCCATCTAATTTCATCTTTTATTTCTAGAATATCTGTGCGCCCGGAGGTGGCAAATGATCAGCACTCAACATTGGAACATCGTAGTCTTTTTGCTCGTTGTGTTTGCGCTCCCACCGTAGTGCCTCGCCCGTAGCCTTTTGTTTCAACTGAATCTTCTCCAATTGTACCTGTTGATAGTCTGCCTATCGGGTGCAGCCGCGTGCAATGATGACGCCATTTTCGCCTTATCTCTCCCTATGGTTCGTTTTAGTTCTAGAGGGATTGTTATGCCATCGTTGTCACTCAACAACGTATATGTCCAACGTGTGTTGAACACCACAGGTTTACTATATTCCCTAGACTCCAACATTTAATTTGAACAGTTTGGTCTGCGACACCTCGTTCGGCATCAGAGCCTTTGGGGTTCTCACTGAAAATCTTCAGTGCTTTCAAATGTGTTTGGTACTTTGACAACGCTAATATTAAAACATCATCGCCCCGCTTGACTGAGTGAGGACAGTGATGTTGTATTTCTCAACGAACTTGTTAACTTTTGCATTCAAGTCGCGGTATTTAGAGTATTTCAGGTCGATACAGGAGTAGGACTCCGCTGTGTGGGTCTGGCGTGGCCCATCACGGCCTTATACCTGCCCCCGCCCCCTTTCGGTCTAATAACCCGAACTCTGAAGTTTGAACCATTAAATGGTTTCAAACGAGGCCCAGGCATGAAAATAATATGATATACGGTTACGAAGTATAATAGCATCTTCATCACTCCCATTCGCAAGTTAAACCCCTCACAGAACCCTTCCTTAGCCATCGCCTGCCCTTCTCTTCTGGTCCCGGCCGAAAATGGCTGCCTGGAAGCTCTCCTGTCTCAATCACCACATCAGATCCCTAACTAGACACCATTTCCGCCTCCAAGCGCCGCCGCTCACCTTCCGATTTCTGCGATCCTTCTCATTCGCCACTCCGGAAGAGGCCGCCGCGGAGCGCCGCAAACGCAAGCGCCGCCTTCGCATCGAACCCCCCATTTCCGCCCTTCGCCAGCAGCAGCAGCAGCAGCAACTGCCTCGTCCGGCCAGCTCTCAAAACCCTAACCCCAATGCTCCCAAGATCCCCGAAACCGTCTCGGCACTGACGGGGAATAGGCTCAATCTCCACAACCGCATCCTCACGCTGATCCGCGAGAATGATTTAGAGGAGGCGGCGCTTCTCACTCGCCACTCCATCTATTCCAACTGCCGCCCCACAATCTTCACCTGCAATTCCGTCATGGCCGCACAGCTCCGCCAATCAAGGTACGCTGACCTTCTATCCCTCCACCGCTTCATCACACAGGCAGGCGTTGGAGCCAATATAGTCACCCACAACCTTCTTCTATCTGCCTACATGGATTGCCGAAAGACTGACATTGCTATGGAGCACTATAAGCAGCTAATCAACGATGCCCCCTTCAACCCCTCCCCCACCACCTACCGGATCTTAATTAAGGGTCTAGTTGATAACGGTAAGCTTGAAAAGGCAATCGAATTGAAAGACGAGATGTTATCCAAGGGATTCAAAGCAGACCCCATGGTGTATAATTATTTGATGTCTACTCAGGCTAAGAACTCAGACGCTGATGGAATTTTTAAACTTTATGAGGAATTGAAGGAAAAATTGGGAGGTCCTGTATCGGATGGAGTGGTTTATGGGAGCTTGATGAAGGGTTACTTCTTGAGGGGAATGGAGGATGAGGCTATGAACTGTTATGCAGAAGCTGTGGGTGCGAATTCAAGTATTAAGATGACCCCTGTGGCTTTCAATCACGTTTTAGACGCACTGAGCAAGAACGGTAAGTTCGATGAGGCTCTAGTCCTATTTGATAGGATGATGACTGAGCATAATCCTCCCAAAACATTGACTGTCAATCTGGGGAGCTTCAATGTGATAGTGGATGGGTATTGTGCCCAAGGGAAATTCATTGATGCTATTCATGTTTTTAAATCAATGGGCACGAAGAGGTGTAACCCGGATACATTGTCATACAATAATCTGATTGAACATTTATGCAATAATGATTTGTTGGGTGAAGCAGAGGAGCTTTATAAAGACATGGAAGATAAGAAGGTGAGCCCCGATGAGGTTACATTTGTTTTGCTAATGGACACTTGCTTCAAGGCCAACAGACCCGATGATGGAGCTCAGTATTTCAAAACAATGGTGGAATCAAAACTGAGGCCTAACATGGGGGTTTACAACAGATTGGTTGAAGGACTGGTTAAAATTGGGAAAGTGGATGAAGCAAAGTCTTTCTTTGATATGATGATGGGGAAGCTTAGGATGAAGGACGATGAGTACAAGTTCATAATGAAGTCACTTTTTGATGTCGGGAAGCACGATGAGGTGCTTTCCATTGTTGACAGGGTCGTAAGGGAGGACCCGTCTGATTTAACTGGTGAATTGAAAGAGTTTATTGGAGAAGGGTTGAGCAAAGTAGGGAGAGAAGCAGAGTTGACGAAGCTTATAGAAGACATAGAAAGGGAGAAGGCTGAAGCTGTGGCTAAGGCTGCCGAAGAAGCCGAAAGAGCAAAGGCCAGTACACGAGAAGCTGTCAATGCCCTGTTGAACACCCCCAGATTGTTTGGAAAGAAGGAACCTGAAGATGATCAGAAGACAACTTCCACAGAAAATACTGCAGAGGCAGAGGTTGTAGAAGAGGAGGCTGTTGATGCAGTGTCAAATGCTGGGGGTGACTCTTGAAGGTAGGAAAACCGTGATAAAAATGCATAAGGTTTTAATTTGTTTCCAGTTACAATGGCATTGGCTTGAGAGTATAGGCATGTATCTAATACATTAAGATCAGAAATAAAAACAACTTACTGATCATGTGTGACACCTTATGTGTTGGCTTTTGTTAGAATCTTTAGATGGTCAGAGTATTTTCATCAAATCTTATATCATCCTTGGATCTTGCACTACATTTTGCTCAACTCCTTTGTTTGTGGCAATTTATTCTGATGCAAAAAATTGATTTTGAGATTTTTTTGCCTTCTCTATTTATGGGGTTCATATTATGCTTTTGGGATTATATGGATCTTAGTATTTTTTTAGCTATGGATGTTTCCTTACAATACATACGTTTGGGGAAGTAACTCAAATACCATTACAGCATGTTTGGGCATTGGAATTTGGATTTCAAATCCGGATATGGCTCAAATTTCTTGTTTGGGAAATCTTAAAAATTTGGATTTGAGGCATATTCTTCTAATTCATTACAAGGCTCAACTGCAAATTCATGTCTCTCCTAGTCATTTGAAATTCTAAAACTCAAATTTTTGAAATGAAATGAAATGTCAATTCCCAAACACCGCCTTAAGCTTTCACAATATTCAGATTTGCCATCCTTGAAATGGATAAATATAAGGCTAGATGGGAAAAAAATTCTTGATAGAAGTATAGCTTCAGATATGGGATAGATATATTCAGAGCCTCATACATTGACAGCACAACTTTATAAGGTACAACAACAACACAAGTTAAAAGTTTTGGAGTTTTTCTTTTTTCTCTCTCACACTCAAGATTACAGAGAAAGGGTAGAGAACAATTATTACTCCAAAGAATTAAGAAATTACAGTATAAACATTTAGGTACTACAGAGGTTAGGTATGCAGACCCCAGCATCTGAGTTTTGCTGCTCCTTCCATATCCTCCCTGTGACCCTAAGCTTGAGTTCTTTCCTGTCCCCGCCAGAAAAGAAAAGTGCCATGTTGCGTTGAATGATGAGGCCGTCGTGACTATCCCTTACCTTGCGATGGCTGTCGCGAATACTTCTTGGGGTGCCCTCCCATGTGAGCTTTCTGCCATTTGCACCCACCTCCAGACTGTAGCTGTAATTCCGTGCTTCGTTCTCGTCGCCCATGAAGCGGAGGAAGGCCATATAAACAGGGGCCATCCCAAGCTGGAAGGCCTCAAAGTGAAGGCAGAAGTACTGACCATAACAATGGAACACCTAACACAGGTGAAAAGACAACAAAACTTGAACAATATAATATATCTGCATGCATTTCTTGAATAGAGAATAAATGAAACACATAAACAATCAAGAAACAGAAGATGATCGACCAATAGACCATCTTATTATGGGTAAAGGTCGTCTAGTTAACAAAAAAAGGGAAAGGAATTGGTTCACTTACGGTGAGCATCCAAGTTGCATTTTCTACTTCACGAGGATTGGACTTGACGTATCGATGGTTGAATGTGGATCCATTGTGCATGTCCACCTTGTGGTCATCTCTCAAATGAGATACCAGATTAGGTATGTCCCCAGTGACTGAGCACTCGGATCCCGCATATGGGCAATTATATGGCCTGAAGTTGCAAACGGCTTCATGTTTGAGCTTGCTGTAATATGGGAATATCTCAGGGCATCCCAATGCATAATGTCTGCAAGGCAATTCAAGTGACTCTGCAACCTTCTCTAGTGCTAAGCAGCGGATGTCACCAAGCTCTTGTCTGCAAGTAGGACACCGGTTGTGTACCCTTGTCTTACAAGTCGAACAAAGTGTGTGCCCGTTGTGACACTGCACTCAAATGCACATTTTTGAATCTCACGTTAATTCAACACATAAAAATTGCTATTTATACTTTGGCTTCTCCACACACAGACTAATTCATCAGTTCCCTTCGATTTGAGTACACTCAATTTCCTGATTTGTGCTGAAACTGCTGATCTATTAATTCCCTTATGCTTTAAAATGGTTGATTGCAAATGGATTGTTGTTAGTGTCCATTTTGCTAAAGAAAGGGAAAAGCATGGTCAGCCATCTCCAATATTTTCCTATTTAAACTAATAAGCTCTGCTTACCACTTTTTATAGCCCTATGCTCAATTTGTTTCCCGCTTATCGCATTTTAGGACACTGCTCAGCGCATAAGAAAAAACAAGTTATCAATTGCTAGCTCATGAATAGAAATGGATGAAGATGCCGAGTAACATCCACATCCTCCATCTTGGAGAAGTTATATTTTTGAATAAGTACTCCTCTATCCCGCAAAGGTCTTCCCTAAATGGAAGTCCTCGACAAGTTCACACATCGCTTAATTTCTTTTAGGAAAATGAATGTGACTCAAATCATTTCTCTTTTAATAGAATTATAACCATACTAAGAACTTTATGGGTCTCAGGGAGTATGCATTAATAGTAGAGTACATATAGAGTCTATGGAGGGATGTGAGTATACTCCATCTCTTCCAAATTAATCATTCGTCCCAAAATAATTGTTTCACTTTTTTACTTTCCTAATCCAGTAAAAAATATGTGGTCCACAATCATTCTCTACCCTCTAACAAATTTCAACCATTTACATTTTATTTTTCAACACTTTTCTTAAACTCCGTGAAGTCAACTTAGGACGATTTATTCAGAACGGAGGGAGTATATAATAATGGAAAGGAAATACTACCGTGTGTAATTAGAGGGGAATACTCTTTAATAAACTATTGCTAAGTAGGGAGTAGGTGAATTCCTAAATGACCTAAATCCTAATATATCTTTCATAATCAAATCAGGATTAGAAACAAGAAACCAGATTGGCGATCAAAGCATGCCTCCAATTAAAAATCCAAAACGGAAAACGGACAAGAGTGGTGAACTAGTAATCAAGAGAGAACTAGAAACCTGATGAATGGGAGGGTACATAGAGTTTGTACAGACGGGGCATTCGAGCAATTCATGGACACTCGTCGGAGCAATTCCGGTGGCCGGAAAGACATTACTGTGAGGTTTGGTCGAAGAACTGTGTTTGAGATGGTGAGACGATCGGATCTCTTCGTCTTCCATCCCATCCAATGAAGATACGCACTCGATGCTATCGATGTCCATTACCCCCTCAAAACCCTCACTTCTCTCGATCGCTGGGAAAAATCAACGCTTTTTCATCGACTCTTCTCCGTAGATCGTTCCTATGGCTCGCCAATTTCAATTTCTCTGGGTTTTTTCTTCCGATCCGGAGAAGAAAAACACCAGAGGAGAAGGAGAAGAAGATGATGAAATGAAGAGATCGATATGGATGGATTCCGATGGACGAAACGGCGTTCTTTTGACCTGATGAAAAGAGGATGTTCTTTTCTTCTTCGTTCTCCTTCTCCTCCTCCACCTCCTCCGCCTCTTTCTCTCTCCTCCGAGTTTCTCTCAGTTGAACAGAAAGTGGTAAGGATCACCGTTGAACTCGGAACGCGCCTGTAGGCGATCACAATCTAACGGCCATTACGTGTCTGTAATCGTCCTGTGTTTTTGACATCTGATACATTACGGAGTGCTCAGTTTTAATGTTTAAAATCTAAGGTATCACATTATCTAAAATTATCTAAAATATAATGAATGACAAAACATCCATAGACCTCTTTGTGAATATCTTGAGGTTAAGGGATTTGTTGTAAGCTAGATTGTGACACTCCTCCCTCCTAAAACGTCATGATGGCGAGGGTTAACAAGTTTTGTAGAGAAGAATTTAAGAGACTTGTAAAGAGAAAATTTCAAGGGATTTCTAACAAGCCTCTAATGAAAAAGCGCGACAAAAAACCTAAGGCATGATCGCCGCCTCACCTCTACCCCCAAGACCTTGTAGATACGAGAGGTGGAAGAAGTACGAGACATTAAAAAAGATCCTCTGAGATGATTTTGCAGAAGCAAGGCAATAGGGACTAATGCAATTGACGCTACGATGCCAACCAGTTTTATGAGTACCACAGATTCGAGGGGGATTTTATAAAAGTGTGTGGATACCTTAAGAGTCTGTTCGAGAAGATGAAGCATAAGATGCCTAGAACATGGGCCTTTAAGAATAGGGAAACTAGGGGAACACTAGTTGAGAATCTCGAACGGTAGCCAAAGGTTAACATATCTTTGGTGGGCAGAGACAAGCACCACTCTCAAAGAGAGAAATAGGCACAAAGATTATATGTTCGAGCGGTCAATGTGAGACAAGTTGCAAAGAAGAGAAGGCGAAAGCTAATAGATCTTTTAACCATGACATACCCTTGTTCTCAATCTACACAAGCCTCTATTGGTGGTCACTTTGCAATCCACAAATCATATGTGAAGAGAATACTCGTAGGCATATGTAGTGGTATTAATATTATATGCAAGGGTGTGGCTTAGCAAATGAGATCGATTGAACTTAACTAAATAAATTGACCCTCCCTCCCCCCGTCCCCGCTCCACCTATCTAGCGTAACAAGAGAAGTCATAGAACCAGAGGGTCTGATCACTCTAGATGTCGCCATAGAGAGCATACCCGAGTAGAAGATGATCATGGACTTTGTGGTTGTGGACAATCAATGTGCCCATAATGCTATCAATTCTAGAACACATCGGACCGAGAGGTTTGGGTATGGCCTTGTCCTTGGAACTTTTATGTCACAAGATCAAGACCCTAGAATGTGTAAAAAGGGTATTAGGGGAGCAACGAATTTCGAGAAAGGCCTACTTGAATGCATGAAAAAGGATGAAACACCAAAGCCTTAAGGTGAATACAATCAACAAACAGCTCAAGAGGGAAAGGCAGAGGGAACATCTAGAGTCCTTTCTCGAACTATAAGAAGTCCTCCTTTATCAAGAGGGGGATGCACAAGGAATAGTAAAGATGGGCAAAGGGCAAGACGAAGATGTTAGAAGTATGGCCAACATTAGGGGTGAATAGCGCTGGAAGGATCATTCATTATTTTTCGCTAAGTAAATAAAAGAAATTAAGCGTAGGAGCAAAAAAATAAAAGTTCAAAAAATATAATAAAGAGAGGAATGAATGCACTATTGTATATCGGTTCACCATAACTTGTGGCAAGTATAGTCTTCAAGAGACTTTTTCAAGTTTTCACTATGTTGCTAAGCTATTGAGCAGGTGCTTAACATTTATTACAATTTGAAAATCTAAATCACACAAGCTTCAACCTCTCGATGAAAGAACTATCATCCTTCAGAATACCAAGGGAACAATCTTCCCTTGAAGAAGTAGCACAACACTCTAAAGAGCAACTTTCACAAGAGTATAGTGGAATAGAAAGATTTAATAGCACAAAAGCACTAGCAATTCTTCAAGAAATGACTCAAAATATCTATGAAAAACAGTGTGCATAAGTGAATTTATGCAATGAAATTAAAGCTCTATGAAAATGTGAAGAACTGTGTGTAAAATGAGACCCAAAGACCCACCCTCTGTGTATACCCAAAATTACTTTGCAACAAGCTATATAAGATTTGAGGTTGATTGGTATCAATAACTGATTAAATCAGTTATCAGACACCATAAAAGACCCAAACAATCGATTGTTGAATTTGAAAATCAATTGTCTCAAGTCAACTTATCAAAATAGACTTGCAACACTCAATAAAAAGTGATAGTGGAAGTGTCACTGGAAGTGCAACACAATTGATTATTCACCATGACAATTGATTGTCAAGCCATGTCTCAGAGTACTAACAATTGTTCTATTGTGTAGCAACGACAATTGCATTAAAGTTGCACTTAACATCAAGATCTGAGATATAACATACAAAGACTAAACATCTTCCTATTTTGGACGTTCACAAATGTTATACTTTTAAGTGAGATTTAGGTTTGGTGAAGGATATGAAATTCATGCAAATTATTCTTACAAAAGCACCTATTCTTATTGACTGCAAATGCCGCTATAGAGCTTTACATGGATTTATTATTCATTGAACTATCCATCCCGATGCAGTAGTTGTTTACTATCCAAAATACACTATTTATGAAACGAGAGTAAATTTCAGATAAGTGCTTCACATGGATGATTTATTAATCATTGATCTCAACAATAATGCTAATATTCGATCTTAGAGAGTATTTTAAATCATCAACCATCACACAAGTGGATTATTTATTACATTGGGTTTTCATGTAAATCAAACCTACCATTGTATTATTCATGCCACATGTAAAGGCATCACACCTAAGGCATCCCACAACACATCTGCCTCTATCTAAACTAACCTTTGGGAGCTGGGCAATGTAAAATGGTGTGTAAACACAATGGAATGCATTCCACAACTCAAACGATTTCCAGAATCTAATGTAAAGAAATAAAAATAATAATGTCCTGTGTATTCTCAAGAAGAAGCCGTTGGGATCAAATCTCGAGCCCCCGGGGGTTGATGACGACATCGGACTAAAGTGTGTACATCTCCGTGACTCTCTCCTTCTCTTGAGCCATGAAAACGCGATCTGCAGTGCGCACCGTACATATAGATTCATCATTTGCATATAAATCGGAACAAGTACTGCAATGAGATTTTTGGCTAGAGAAAAAAAGCAAGCTTACGATAGTTTCATCTTTAGATTCCCTGCCTCTTCAATAGCCACGCTAGCGCCATAAAGTGCCAACTTCTTCACCTATAGGTAAAAGAGCAAATCATCAATTATGGCAATTTCTAACATGATATATCGTGCTGCCGAGTCTCTTATGCAAAATATTTGTGTGTTCTTGAAGTGCATGTTCATATACTGCTTGGCAATGAAAGGTGAAAAAAAATCATTTACCTCCAATATATCTTGCTTAGATCTGTGAGACTTGGGAAGTATGCGAAATGCCTCTGTCAATTGGATGCACTCTTGAACATTTTCAGGGGATACAAAGTCAACTGCAACTTTAATGCACGACTGCAAAACAGTAACACTCAAATTAATAACATATTTCTTGTACTGAAGAACGCAAAATCAACTTTAATGCGCATAATTAACGCTGTTTGATGAAATTTCACCTGTCTATTTCGAACTTGATGTGGGCACCCTGCAGGAATGAAAACAGCCTCACCAAGGTATTGTTCAAATGTCCAAGGTTCCACATCTGCATGACAGCACAATGAATATAAAAAGATTCTTGTGTTAATAATAGCCCATACCTCTAAACCTAACTGGGAGAACATGCAATGCATCTTACTGAATTCATCTTTCAGCTGTTTCTTGTGCTTCTCATTCAGATAAAATGTCTGGTCATGAATAGGGTGAATGACCTAAACCAAGCAAAATGAGGCATTATAAAACTACCCAAGGCTTCGAAACCAAGTACCGTTTACATAATTGATAGTAACCTTAGACAAATACATACAGAATTGACAGGAACATTGTTAATATGACGGAACTCTTTCCAATGCTTCTGCAAGTATTCTGTTAGTTTAGGCACGTCCTCGCGACGAAAGATGTCCCATAAAGCCCCACCATGTACAACATCTAGAGGATGTTCAGTTAGCATGTTTTCTTCTTCTACAAGTGCTGAGTTGTCAGGGTTTGGTTGGTTTGAATATGTCTCCTGAACTAAGGAAGTTGCACATTCCGGTGCATCATTTGCCCTGCTAAAAAACTCTTTCAAGTCTTCTTCTTCGTGGCCCTTCTTTAATTTCGCAATTTTTCTTCTTTGCTTCCAATTAAGTTTCACTTTACTTGTGTGTGTCAGGATATTGACCTGAAAAGAACCCGCCATAAGAGAATGCTGATATTGACCTAACAAGGTTTACTTTTCAAAACACCAAACAAAAATTATACATAATGTGCCACGCAGACCCAATGACATGCTGAATTGGTTTAATTATACATGTCACAAATTCATTTGGGGAAGGCACCTGAATGGTTGGGATGATTATGGAATAGCTTACACTTAGGATTAGTGTTATAAGAAGACCAAGAATATAATTATAATGATTCCTGTAGGTTTTTCGACTGAACAATATAAACCAGAAAAGATATGAGGATGTGGCTTACCGCATCAGAAATGTCACAATGCAGCTTTGATACAGAATCACCTCTTCCCAGTTCTTGTTCTGAACCATAAGCAATGTAAGTTTTAGGACCCAAATCTGGCTTCAAAGACCCAACAGGCAGCTTAGTGGCTAGATTCAGAAGACCTGATCTAGGATCAGTATAATCACTGAAGGGAAGCATGGAAACAAATTCAGCACCATGTCTTGGCAAACATTCTTCGAAAAACTTGGTCGGTGGCCAATCCTTCAATTTCAACATCTCTGGCCACCCACTGCGATGACACCG